AGTACGCAACTTTTAAGCAGCCACGCTTAACTCTCAGAGCCCCACACCGGCCTCTGATGGCCCCTAAGCTTTCGAGCCTGCCTAAAGAGGACCCATTCCAGGCGTGAGCCTGCAGGACGGGATCCAGCCAAAGACCTCACCCACTCAAGGGCCCCACAGTAGACCGAGGACTCTTTCAAGTGCTCAGCTTTACTCTTGAGTCTTGCTGCGCGCTCAGGGCACTACTCGTTGGCTCGGAATGTTTACATCAAGCAATCACACAGGGCCATTTCGCGACTTCGATGGTTGTTTGCGATCAGAGCGTCTCACCAAATATGGGCTGAATTCGCATAGGCGAATCCCTTAGACTTATCGAGCCCAAAATGTAACACTTTGTGTTGGGCAGCATACAGAGCCCGCCAAAACGTGCGCACGTCCTTCATTTGCGCACGTTAAGAGTAGCAACCAAACTGTGATACCTTGCCATGGAATTATGAATCCCCCGGTCCGCACGATGTTCATTGTTCACCTATCGGAGACGTTTCAGCACAATTCGCCAAGTCAATGCGTAGTTATTATATGTAAACAGCAGCAATTTAAGCACCCCTGACTGAGCTATCGCAAATATTCGCCAGGGTTAGGGGCGAAAAACGTCCCCCCCGGGCCAGCGAGGGCTAGCATTCCGGGGAGAGGTGGCACAGCGCCTGACGAGAGCAGCACAGACGGCGATGGAGCGTTATAGGGAGGGGCGAATCATTAAACGTTTTGACGCATTCTGGGAAGGGGAGGCGCGTAAGGGCAGAAAGGCGTCTGGGGAGGGGCGGCACGTAGCGGCGGCAAGGTGCCTTGGGAGGGTGGCGCCGACTGCGATAGAGCATTGTGGGGAGTGGCGGCTTGTTGAGGGCGGTGGGGTGTTGTGGCGAGGGGCGGCACATAGTGGGCGCCAAGATACTCTGGGGAGGGCGGCAAGGCGTTTATGGAGGGCGGCACAGACGGTGGTAAAGCGTTGTGGGGAGGGGCGGCACATTGGGGGCGGCGGGGTTTGTGGTGAGGGGCGGCACATAGAGGGCGCCAAGGCACTTCGGGGGGTGGGGGCACATATGACGATAGAGCATTGGGGGGGGGGGGGCTTATTGAGGGCGGCGGGATGTTGTGGCGAGGGCAGCACATAGAGAGCGCCGAGGTACTCTGGGGAGGGCGGCACAGACGGCGATGAGCTATATGCGGAGGGGCGGCACATTGAGTGCGGCGGTGTTCTGTGAGGGGCGGCACATAGAGAGCTCCGAGGAACTTGAGGGGAAGTCGGTGTGGAGGGGCGGAAGGACATCTGGGAGGGGCGGCATGCAGAGGGCACCTAGTTATTTTAGTGAGGAGCGGCACGTTGAGGTCAGGCGTATGGTGGACCGAGCAGTGCCGTTTTTTGTTCTTGGTTTGTCCGCGAGTCCCGCAATTGCAGACTTCCTCTACCGGGGGCGGCATTTCAGCATCCCAAAAATGGGCTGGAATTTCCAGCGTTCCAGCGCGGTGGTTACGCCCATGGCCCCGTCTCAGCTATCGCGGCCAGCTCATTCGTGAGGTTTGTGAGAAACGGAAACTGCCAATCTGGCCCACATTGTATCCTGGAGGGATCCTAAATGTCAGCCGCACCGCCCAATGACGGCTCCCGCGGATCCAAATTTCATCTCATCAGTCATCTGATATTTTCCCTGAGGCGCTATGTCTGGTCAGATTTCTAGTGCTATCACAATGATTTGGGGATATAATTACCTACAGATGGTACATTTTCATGATTTGCAGTGCTACTTGCAGTCTTCTTGGAATTGTGCAGCTAAAAGTGGTGCGAATTACAGCTCTGTACCGTATTTGATGGTTTTCCAGCACTCTAGGTTCTGGGAATGGAATGGCTCAGGTGACGAAAATAACGCAATTAATTTTCGCCTGCCTTGACGGGTGAAAGACATCTGTTGTACCTCTGGAATTCAGCCTCTTAGGGTGCAATGCAATTTCACAAACTTCGTTTTCTGGAGACGTTAATTGAATTACAAAAAGAACGGTCCATGGTTTCTTCGATTGGCGTCAACTGACATTGAAAAGATTACGGAGCATCATTTTCGAATGACTTACAAGAGTATCTAATCTTGGAAAATGCAATTCTCGGTCATGGATAGCCCTAGTACCAACCTATGAATTCGGATGAGTTATAGATAGTAATGCATCTTATATTTGCCAATCATTTTAAGCAAAGATAGGGATTGGATAAACGTGCAAGCTGGCTTCAATAGCCACTCATGTCATGATAAATAGACCTCAGTGTTCATTTTTTTTTAAACAAATATTCCTGTATGCACATAAAAAGTCTACATGCTAATTAGATGGATTATTATTATTTTTCGTGCTGTATCTTTCCGTGCTTCAATTCCGAGCGTCCTCTCATTCATCACTCAAAGCCTGGTTGCTGGTAAGCATTGGAGAACTGGATTAGAACTCAGAGTTGCATTGAGATTCGATCAGTTGAGCCCCCTGACCCCGTCTCCTGGCGCGGTCCCCCCCCCCCCCCCACCGTCTCGTCACTCCCAGTTGAACCGCCTCAGGCGCCAACCGGTCGGGGTCAAGGTCAAGGTCAAAAGGTCAGCGGCGCGGTGACGCCAGGAGCTACTCGACAGGGGGCACTTACGGGTGATGAACGTCAGCCTCGCGGCAGTCCATCGATTCAGCTGGTCGGCCCTCCATATTGCCACTTGCCGACTCAATCTTTCCCTAATCCCTCTCTGTCTCTGTCTCTGTCTCTGTCTCTGTCTCTCTCTCTCTCTCTCTCTCTCTCTCTCTCTCTCTCTCTCTCTCTCTCTCTCTCTCTCTCTCTCTCTCTCTCTTTTCCTCTATTTCTCTCTTTCCCAATGCCTCATATTGTTTCTGCAACAACACGCTGTCAGTTGTCACGTTTCGTAAAATGTTTGGGTGTTTGGAATGTTCGGGAATGGTCTGGCGAGGCGCGAGCAGCAAAATCAAATTTTTCTGCTGTTTGGCGAAATCACGCGTGTCTGGCCTCAAATTTGTTTCGACCACAGATGCCTGTTTGGTACTTTTTCACATAATTTTCACCACTTATTCGGCATTCCTGTCGCAAGCATGATTAACTAACTAGACTGTCGCCACTGTCATATATTCCCATATTGCTCAGCGCCTGGCATACCTGTCATGCCTCTCCATATTCTCTAACGCCTGACAGCTTGGCCATATTGTCTGCTGAACCCCCCAGGGTGTTGGGGGAGGGGAGGGGCGGCACCAAGACAGGCGACATACCGCGCCCTCATCTGCGGCGAGGCTGGCACAGCACATCGATCGCCTCAGGACACAGTCGCGGCGTCTGTCCCCAGACCCTCGGGAGGGGGGGGGGGGGGCTCTGATGCAACAGATGGCCTGGGTGGGAAGAGGGAGGAGGAGGGGGAGGGGGAGGGCTGCCGGCGGCGATGCCTATTTTGGGCGCATGCAATGAACCGTGAGCAATGATGAAGGGCCGAAAAAGACTGAGCTGTGATTTCTGTCATTCATATCAATGTCATGTTTTGATTTGAGCCGTCAGTCATCACTCACTATTCGTGTTTGCATGAAAGTTCTAACGAGGTGGATGCTGTTCGTTCATGTTGAAATATTTTGTTAGATTTTGAAGTAAGTTCTAATCTCCCAAGGTGCCTATATCTAATTCTATTTCAGTAAGTAGTGTCACCGATTGTACAACAGCCAATCACATGCCATGGGTGATTTTACAAGTACGACTGATGGTTCAAGGCTGATCATAGGTACTTTCAGCTGCAGCCTACAATGTGTGTTATTAGGTATATCGCGTTTCTATACAAAACTAAGGTTAATAGTCACCATCTACTGCCTCTGTAGATGGGATTCACGATCGAAGCAGTGCCCCGCCCGAACTAGTTTCGTATGCATTATGCAACACGTGCAGACTACCGCCCCCTCAACCATTCAGTCAATGGGATCAAAGCCGGGCTCTGTCGCTAATGAGGGCGATATTGTCGGTCCAATAACGTCCGATAACCCACGTCCAATGACATATCTCAGATGAAGGGAAAGAGCATGCGTTAGCCATGAATGGGTGAGAAACTTCGGCTTAATTCAGTCGTAATATTGCGAGCAGGAGATGACTGCAAATTGCGGCAATCAACGAGTTGGACGTAATTTCCGTGTAGCGTAATGATACCGCGGAAGGCGAGACTGCCTCATCCATATCAATGATAAGGTGCCGAGAGTTCCGAGCAGCTAATTATTAAACCCAAGAGAAGGAATCATAAAAGCTTACAATCATAATAACCTGGCAGATGGCTCCAAGAATACGATTTACCCTCCTGTAACGGGCTGTACGGACCGCAATTAGACTGTACCGCCGAGCTCTCATGCCGTGCGGCACAGACGGCGGTACAATTCCGCGGGCGATACCCCATATAGTTATCTACCAATATGAAGTCTACAGCCTCTCATCAGGCAGAAAATCCTTGATCCATCCACCAGCGTTAGCAATTTTATGATTCGAGGTCCCTCTCCCTGACAGGATGGCCCCACTGGCCATCCCTAGCACGAGTCGTCGCCACATAGTAACACCGTTGAACGTCGTTATTAGCAGGTAGGTTCACGGGAAGAACAAACTATACCTATAGATCGCCCCGACAAGTCCCAGCCTGTGAGTGGACCAGCCATACTGTATCCTGTATCCAGTTGCAAGAATGCAGCGTTCAAAGTCCCTCTTGTGTGTGGTCCCCTGCAAGTAAGGCCGGAAATGTTGACTACAAGCATGAGTCAAAGGTGGAGCTTTGTGCCGAGTTGGGAGGGCCCGAGCTCTCCAAATTCGACGCCGGCTTGGCTTTGGAGCCGCAACAGACCGCGGAGGTCAAGGTCACCGCTAGGGCGGCGGCGGATTTGCTGCACCCGGGGCCTCCCAGCTCCGCACAAAGTTCCACCCGTGGCATGGGTATTGGTTTGAGTTTCGCCGCCCGCTCGCCCAGGTCACTGACCTTGTGGATGACATCCTCGACCTCCGAGCCGACGCTGATCCTCACGCCGGTAGGGCGCGTCTTGCCGTCGTGGCCGCCGCTGCTAGTGCCGCTGCTAGTCCTCTCCGATCGGCTCTGCGCGCTGCTAGCGCCGCCCGGCGGTGACCCGACGCACTGCTCCGGCTCGAACACGTCATCGTCCAACAGCGAATCTTCGGTCTCTATGCGCCGCGTCATCGCAGCGCTCTGTGCTGATTGGTCGGCCGGGATCGCGGCTGCGATGTGATTGGTTGCTGACTGTTTTACCCTTATTTTGATTGGTTCAAAACTGATTGGTAGTGATTTGATTAGAAGGCTCACACAGCGCAAAGAATAGGAAAAAGAAACTGCCGAGGTCAAGAGCGCTCGACCACACCCTAGATTGCAAATCTACCGATGCATGATCTTTTCAGAGTTCGCGTAGTTTTGCGACGATTGAATAAGCCGGTTACGTACCCAAACTCACGGTTCAATCTTACCACATGTCCGTCAATAACACACTCGCCAGTTCCCTGATTTGCACCGTCAGAGTTTGACAGCCAGTGACGACGGTCTATGATGGACAACTGACGCCACACTGACGTTGAGTGATGGCAGTGACGCGACGTCACAGGTCCGGTCACCGAACGCAACTGGTACCGTCGTCGTCGGCGGCGGCGGCCGGCGCGTGCGCGCAGTGGACGGGCGGCCCGTCCGTCGGACAGAGTTTCAATCGATGGCACGGCCTTTGGCAAACTTTGTACGAGACGCAGAGATAGCCTGTTGGGGGTGGACCGAGCTGCAGCCAGCCGTATTGAGGGAGGAAGAAATTATCTAACGTACGACTTTATGGTCTCTTGGAGACGGGACGTCTCAGCGGCCCTATTAATGGCTAGCCAACCAGCTCATAGTCTATGGAAGACCGTAGCCCGCATGAGAAGGCTCATAGGTATTATGATATTTTCTGTTCAGGATAGGAGTAAAAGTAACTTTTAGGCGTGGGGCGTCTATTACTGACATGCCTTCCCTTAGTCCTAATGCTAAGTACGTGCGTATTGGGCTCTACTGTTAACGCCAGACCCCTTGAGACCCTAATTTTTCGCGATTACTTTTAAATGCGTGAAGGAATTTCAACCAAGCTCAGGACATGGCCGTTTCAAGACAGGCCGAAACTTTTACAATTTAGATATTTTATCGCCATTTCAATATTTCAGGCACTTGTCATTGACTCGTAATGTTAACTGTTTTTCCATCCTGGATAGAGGCTTTCTACGTCATATGACAATAGGCTCCGCCCACGACTGCGGCATTGACCCGTGCCCATCAGCGACCTCTGTACAAGCGACACCCCTGCCATCTGTGAAGGACTATGAATTTCGCTGACGCTTCACGTGCTATGAGTCAATTGCAGCAGACGGTCAAGTAAATGTTAGGCTCTTGTTGACTCTTGTATATAGGACCAAGAGGACCATCACTCCTCAACCTACTACTCAGTCGTGCTTCGAACAAACGTTAACGATTCCTAACAAATACGATTTTCGATGTAGGGTATCTGTTTGAAATACGAGCGAGCCGTATGATGTGAAGCTCAGGCAATTAACTTATTATTGCGTTGTTCGATGGTTGCATAGCGATGTACAAATCGGCAGCTACTTGGTGACATCCGACATCCCATTATCGCATTATCTGCAACGCCATAGGCTTTAAATACAGGTGAATATTTCCTAACCTTATGTCAGTTATATGCCATCTGCCCGTCATATGCAGCTTATATAAAAAAAAATATCAGCGAACATATCAACATTGTAGAAGCAATGCGCATTGAGCATTTATGACTCCTTAGTCATCATGTCGCTCTCTGGGCACTGTCAGCCAAGACGCTACGCACAACTCCGCCGGCTTTCGGCACCGCTCGACCGTCGCCCGTCCCCGCTCCCCGCCACAGCGAGAGTGACCGCGCGCCGGCCCGAAACCGCCGCAGGCCAAGACCACAGAGGCTTAGCTGTGACGTCATAACGTATCACAGACTGACTGGTGGTAGCCTCTACACACCGGATGAAAATCTTGCTCGAAATTTAACATTACGAGTCAATGACAAGTGCCTGAAATATTGAAATGGCGATAAAATATCTAAATTGTATAAGTTTCGGCCTGTCTTGAAACGGCCATGTCCTGAGCTTGTTTGAAATTCCTTCACGCATTTAAAAGTAATCGCGAAAAATTAGGGTCTCAAGGGGTCTGGCGTTAACAGTAGGGTATGTTATAAGTAGTGGTGTCAATAACGGAAAAACGGAATACCGATACCAAACCAAATATCAACCAAAACCGTGGGGAAATACCGAAACCAAACCAACTTGGGAAAATGAGGAAAATACCAACTTTTTACCGATTTCTTAGCCTCTTATACATTAGTGAGGGTTCATGATACCAACAAAATACCAAACACATTACGATTGAAATACCAAATACCAAGTTGGTATCGGTTTGGTATCGGTATACCAAAAAGTTGGTATCCGATTGACATCTCTAGTTATAAGTGATGACGGAAAAAGCAAACTGGCACTAACGTGCGGCATGCAATTGTAACGGATTGCAAGGGCCAATTGGATTCGAAATCCGTTCTATCCGCGGGACAGGGTTTCCGGTTTGCATGATGGAAGTCGTAGGATTGGTATGATGCCACTAGCCGTTTTAACGACTGCCATCTGGTACACATTTGGTGCACATTTGGTGCAGACTAGGTGCAGATTTGGTCAAATTAGGTTCAGTGTATCTCTTAGAAGCTATCGGCTAGGGTTGCACTAATTGCTTATATGCCTCCTTTGTCATATTATCAGAGAGTATCATCGATTAAAACACTTGAAATAAGTTCATAAAAGCCGTTTTCACGACGGAACTTTCGCAGAGGAACTTATTTGATACCTAAAAAGTACCTACTCTTTGAGGCCTTAACATCCCTCAAACTGAAATATTTTATGTTCAAAATAATTTTAGAAGTTTAAATCCGGGCATTCTTTGCCCTCAAATCACTTATTTATTTACAAACACAGCAATTTTCGGTTCTAATAGCCCACCTTTCGACTATGAGGTATCAAATCAGCGTGGCAACTTGCTCCCTCGGGTATCTAATTCCGGAATTCTTAAAAACAGGAAAGTATATATCGAGTTCTCTTTCATACCTATTCAGTTATGTTTTAATGGTGATTAAAATATGGCAAATTTTTTAATTACATTTCATATAAGAAAACACGCAAAACAATGAAACAAAAATAACTACGGCAGATAATTACCTTCAGGTATCTAATTCCGACCAATCAGCACCTCAGTAGGATATGACGTCATACAAGAATGGTGGTGAAGGCCGTTTGCAGTCCCGGCCGGTAGGTCACGTGACCGCCGGGCGCCTCGGGTCACGCGGCGGTCGGGAGTCGGACGCGGGGCGTGGTCGCGGTCGGACGCGCGGGGCATCATGCTTTGCTTTGCTTGCTTTGTCAACTTCATATAACTTACTATCGCATTCGTGTGAAAGCCAAACACTGCTTAGTGCCCTTAGAAATTGAGTTTTGGAAAGCTCAAGTCCCTATAGCTCCTCAGGTCGACAACAGTTGAAGCCTCATCTGAACCCATGTGAAAAAAAAACGAGGGTAAGGAACCTTGTGTTGCTTTTTCTTTTACCGTCATAATTATCTCAAACCATCACAATTTTGAGTTGCCACATTGTCTGCTTCACTACATTCGTGTAAAACTTGGGTGAAGGCTGGTGGCTCAAAGAAAGGTGAAGATATTTCTTTAAGTGCCTAATCCGTGAAATATCCCGGCTTTACAAATCTACACTTTTCATTTTCTCCACGATACATTTTTTTAAAATTGTTTAAATTTAATCTACATTTGTTAAAATCGGGGCTTTGGTTTTGTGTAAACTAGATCATAAAGTTTACTATAGTTTTGTGTAACCTGATGGCTGAAGAAAATATTAATTTTGCTAAAAGATGTGCGGAAATTTGTTGCTTTCCAAATCAAATTACTCATACCTATATTTCATTCAAAATTAGGAGGCATTATTACTGTTTTTTCTTGTAACATGAACTGAGTTTGGGTACGGTGCTCCGGAAACGTTGTGGAACTTTAAGCTAGCTAGAGCAGTTTCCATAAAAATTGTTTAGATAGTTGACATGGCTTGTTGACAACTCTTTTGCTGTTTCTAAAAAAGTGGAAAAAAATATTTTCCTGCATTAAGCACACAAGGCATGTTATTCTCATAAGCTATCGAATGTGCGTGTGTTTTTTTAAGCTGTTTTTTTAAGCTTTTAAGCTGTAACTTCAGTTACTTCACTTTAGAACATATTGCCCAGAATGCGTCACTGATCATGAGCTGGTAGGTATATCATATCATATGTAGCAAATACATAAATGAGAATAGTGTGTCATGAATTTTTGTGCATGCTTCTGGATCATCTGTAATTACATCAAAGGCTCGGCTCAAGAGTGTCCTGCCGACCAGCTTATGCCCAACCCTTTCTGTCCGCAGAACGTCGCCTGCGACTCCCGCACGCCGTTTGCCCCGGCCGTCCGTACTGGTCTTCGCGCTGCGAGCCGCGCTGGAGTTCGCGGCGGCGTCGTGGAGCTCCCATCGGGACGGCGTGTGATGCCCGCGTCGAGCTTATAAGCCGTGAGCTTCGATTGGCGGCTCACGCGGTCACCAGCTGTATGTACAGCCTCGGCCCCGACGACCCCGCTAATGGCCGAGACCGGCATACCCCCGGCATGGGTCCGCTGTCCGGCGCAGCGCTGGCCGCCCGCATGCTACTTTTGGCTGTATCGCTGCCCAGCGGGAGCGCGCTCCACGCTGCGGAAGAGGTACACGTTGCGACCCGACTGAGGACCGCAACCAGATGGTGACACGTCGGCCTCTGCGCCCTGGCCGGGGCAGGCGTGACCGACGTCACAGTGGAGGAACGCCCAAACAAGACCAGCCCACCGTCGGAGCAGCATGGAAATATCATGTTCTGCCTGGACGTCGGACCCGGCGGCCGCAGTGCACCTGCACACGTGCGGAGAGGGGCGCTGGAGGCTACTCTGGAGCTTCTGCCATTCCGCGGCGCGACTGCTGGCAAAACGGCGGCGATTGAGGCGGTTGGGAACAGCTGCAGCAATGGTGATGGCGGTGATGGCGACATGGCGGTTTGGGACTTCATCTCAGCGCGGCCGCCGCCCAGGCGCCGCTGCGCCCGGCTGCTCAGCCACCTACCGGATGGCGGGTGGCCCTTACGGCCCTCACGCCCGTTCGGTCTGCGGCCACGTTGTGGGGTGGCGGTCGCGGGGTTAGCGGCGTTGGACTTCGTCCTTTATCCAGACTGCACCGTACCATCTGAACGGATGGATCTGCCAAGAAAGATGACATCCAAGGCGGCTATGAGGCGATCACAAAGCTTCACCAAGAGCTTCTCCTTCATGGAGCCGGCCGGCCGTTAAGTCGCAACACCGGCTGCCGAGTGCCAACAGCTGCGTGCGCTGGCGCCGACGCGTTGTGGGCCGCGCTGCTGACGCCCAAGCTGCGATATCAACCATCTATGAATAAGTGGCAGCGGTGGCGGCTTGTCAGTTGTTAACGTGCCTTAACAGACGTTGCGAATAGCCCGCGTTGGAATCGCATGG